TTCATTGTCTAGGTCGAGTATCCATGAATAGGATGAGCCATCGACACCTGTTGCTCGAGAAGGTTTGGATAGAGTGAGATGTGCCTTGGCCCGCTCAACATCATAGACAGTGAGTCTCTCATTCAACGATGGAAAGATGGAGGGTTTTGACAGGTTGGTCCTTTCACACAGCTTGCATTCGTGAACGAGACGATCTTGCATAGGCTGAGGAATGTCCTGAGGTGGATTCATCCGCGGTACGAAGCACTGAACGAGACCTGACAAAGACACTAAGGTAGGAGCGTTTCCCGGGTAGCGAAGACGCTTGTATAGCTTCCAAAAAGCTCCTGAGTCCGAGGAGCTTTCAACGAGACGCTGTAGGATGTCATCCTGTAAATGTCGCTTGAATGACCGGTGGCGGTGGTTGGGGTGGAACGAGTTCTGGCCAGATGGTTTTTCCTTGTGAGGAATAGGGTCTTCTGGGAGATCTGTATCCACTTTAGGGTATCCGAGAGGAACTGTGAAAGGGATAGGGGTAGGGATATGGTAATAGTCGGTGGCAGTGAAAGGGGCGGGTAATGGGAGCTCTGTGCCCTGTTTGGCTAGCGTATCTGCTGCATCGTTATGTTTATTTCCTGAATGACCCTTAACGTGATGAAAGTAGATGGGAGCTGAACGAGCCGCAATCCAGCTGATGATAACTTTGAGAAGGTCACCATTGATACATACCCAGCCACACTTAGCGTTGTGAACTGCCCAGTGTACAATGGAGTGTATCGTATAAGTGGAGTCGGTGAAGATATCCAGTATACGGTGTAAAGGTGACTTCTGTAGGATCATTAGTATGGAATAGAGCTCCGCCCGATTGTTAGTGGGGTTTCCCGTTACCCGCGCTGCGATGTTGAATGAGTGGCCTGGACCGACATAGATTCCTGCCCCAGCTGAGGCACCTTCTCGCCCATTATTCCTTGCAGATCCATCAGCAAATACCTTCAACCGCTGATTTTTTGTCTGTACGGGGTCAAGGATACACCACCCGTACAACTTCCCTAGCTCGTCACTGGCCTCTGGAGGAGATGTGTGAAGGACGTTATCGAGAAGGTGGTCTAGATGCGTGACCAACGGTAATACAAATTCTGGATGATTCCTGTTGGTCAATGGAGGTGGGGGAAGTGTATGTCGTGGTAGCAGAATCTGTAAGGATAGTAGTGCATGGTCAGACCACTTCGTTCTATTAGATACGTCAAACGAAGCAATGTTCGCGGTGCTGCGTGCTGAACAAATGCCATAATCGATAACTGATGTAGCATATGTGGTATCGCGTTTTTGGAATGAGGTCCAGCGAGAGTGTGAGCCAGGGATCCCCTGTGAACCATTCAAAATGGTGAGGTTGAGATCGTTGCAGAGAGCTAGTAGTTGTGTTCCCCGTGAGGTGCAGTGAGTATCTGGAGATATCCGAGTTGGATGTGTGTTGTTAGGGCGGCGTGATTCCGTTCGTGCATTAAGGTCTCCCATAATGAAGAAAGGCTTGTTAAGGTTAGTTGCCAATGTACAGATCTCCTTGAAGGCATCCCATGGGTGAGTATCGGTCCACTGAGACCAATCAGAAGAGGTATTCGGAGAAAGGATGTACGCGTTGATAAAGAGTATGCCTTGTACTTCCACTGTAACAATATCCGGACCGCATAGGTCCTCATGTAGTGTAGCATGTAAGTCGGAGCGGACCAACGTAGCCACACCGCCCCAAGGATCGTCGAAGTAGTCCGTCGGCCTCGGTTGAGAGAAGACTGAGAAATTCTCCGGTGCATGCCAGATCTCGTCTGGGTAAAGGTTAGTTTCCTGCACACCAACAATGTGAACATTGTCAAGAATTTCACAGAAGTCTGAGTGAAGAAGATTTGACTGAAGGCGTCCCCCAAAGTTGCAGCTAACAATATTCAATTTATCGGTAGTACTAATACAGTTAGAAGACATAACATGGTGAGGAGAGGGTACGCAGTCAATCTCAGTCTTCCCCACCCCTAACCGTCATTCAGAGGCTGGTTGGAGAGCGACGTTGAAGGCGGCGTTATTGACGATAAGTGCACGATGACGATTCCAAGCATCGACAAATAGTCCTGCCTGGGCCGGGCTACTGAAGAAAAGGCGTACTTGGCGTCGCGCGCGTCCCATATGCGCAATGTGGTATGGGAACGTCAGGGGAGTAGCCGCGTTGTCAAGTCTCACAAACCAGGTCTGGAAGAAGGCACGGAGTGCTCTACCGTTCTTGTGGAATATTGTACTTTTGGTCGAAACACGTACTACAGATCCCGGTATGCCGTAGTGTATGATAGGCAATCGAGATGCAGATGTGCCAGTCTTTCGACGTTTAGGTGGTTGTTCTGGAATCGGTGATGGTGTCGCTGGCCGTTGGGAAATACGGTCGACCAGAGGTGTGGAGTTCGGCGACGAGGTACGGTCGGGGGTTGCAAACTGCGGCGGTGGAGACATATCGTAGTCTTGGTCCGTTGCGATGACGTCACTAGTAGAGGCGTTAGGGCCCATGTTCAGAGGCGGAATAGATCCAAGGCGTTGAAGAAGAGACGAATTAACTTCTATCTGCGTTTGTAGAGCGATTGAAGCCGTTGGCGACCGAATGGCAGAGGAGGAGGCAGTCGGTGAGGCAAAGCCAGTGGGAGAAGCCGCGCGGGATGGCAGCGTCGACTGGTAGCGAGGAGGCTCCAGTCCCATTTCCGACAAGTCCACATCACTAAAAATGTCCGATGAGTGGGAGGGAAGATGGTCAGTAGAGGCCGAACGTCCCAGAGGAGCTGGAGGAGATATCGCTCGGCTTGTACGGACATATGTGAGAGGAGGTTGGCTTGGGTCCGGAATGCGTTGTTCCAACTGATCCAGGCGGCGATAAACGAAGTCGTAAGATCCTCTAGTACTCTCCAGATCATGTACCCGCTTCTGCAGGTCGTCGACGTCCTCGTGAGTGACCAGGTTGTCCTGTACGAGATCGTGGTGAGCGCTCTGGTGGCTGTCCTCGTGCTGTCGGAGGCTGTCTCTGAGGTTTTGGATGTGTTCCCTCGTGGCTGCTGTTTCCGTCCTAAGCATACCCTCGAGGCGAAGATCATTGCTATCACAACGATATCTGGCGGCGGTAGCGGATTCCTTGGTGCCCATGGTGTTTGGAATGAGCCTCGAGTTTGGTGGGTAGTGCAGCGAGGGAAGGTTGAAAGAGGACTGGGAAGAGACAGTCTTCGTTGGTGTCTTTTGTGAGGGCCCGGCGGTGGAGGACTCGGCAGAAGCCGGCTTTTTCGAAGCTTTTCCTGAGGAACCGACAGTGGTAATGTTCTGAGAGGTACTAGAAGCGGTTTCCGGTTGTGTTTCGGTGTCGGCGCCTGATTCACGATGCGAGAACGACGCAGAGGACTGCATGGCCAAAGACCGGCCAGATGAAGGAGCGGGAGGAGGAAGAGGCGTAGCGGAAGGTGGGTTACCAGTCGTGCCAGATGACGTGCTTGCGCCTTGTGATTGGGCATGAGGTACATACCGCTCTCGTCCTCTGTTTGTGTTAACGGCGTCCTCGATGAGTTCTTGAATAGTTTTGGCCATTTTGTAAGTGAAGGCTGGTCGTGTCTCAGAATGTTTCAGATAAAAATCGTCGCCGTATGGTGAAAATAGTATTCCGAAGTACGGTGAGCGTTAGAGTTAACGAGTATGAGTTTTCTGAGGCAGATATAGTATCGTGGCGGCCGTTGAATCGATCTAGAAAAATCGATGGTGGTGGTTTTATGTCGGCTAGTATCGGCTAGTACACGCGCCTGTCATCTGTCTTGGTCATCATCGATGGTAGATAAAGACACGCGCGCGAAAGCTGGGTTCGACTCCCAGCCAGGGAGCTGAGCGACTGTATTTCCTCCGTTTCCATGCCATTCTTTTTTGATCACCCCTAGCTGGGCTTTCCTTTCTTCGATCGAGTCCGTTGGGATTTTACACTCTGCCACTCCGAATCCCGAACCTCAAAGGCCCCCCGATAGCCTTCACTACTGTAGCTCCGAGCTGCAAGTCTTGTACCTGTGCAGAGGGATCCAGAGAGAACACAGCTATGAGTCAGAACGCAGCACTAGTTTGGGTGCTCAGTACTCAAGGCCAATGCATTATGCGATCGGAAGCTAAGCCAGTGCCGAACGGTACCTCTTTACTCATGGTCAGCCAGTAGATAACCTGGATACTTAGCCGACGGGGTGCCGCACGGTTTCCTCTCTTCAAAGGTTCCTCTCTTCAAAGTCGCAGCAAGGATGTACCAAGTACGTTTTAATTTGACCAAAGCCCCCCGTCCACAATACAAGTCCACAACCATAAGCCCACAACAAAAAGCATCTACCACAAATCTACCACAAGTCCCTGGTAGTATATCGGTTAGTACACGCGCCTGTCATGTGATGAGCAATCAAGGTTCAAATCCCTTTATACCCGCGCGAAAGCTGGGTTCGACTCCCAGCCGAGGCTTCGTTTCATCGATCTCTTGTATCCCCTCTTTTATAGAGAGGAATTACGCGCGCGCTAGCCAGTGAGCCGCATGTATGCTCTCCACTACTATTTTTGACCATCCCAACTGGAGGAGTTATTGGACCCCTCATCGACTTACCCGTTGCTTTTCTTTCGGAGTACCTGGATCCAAATAACCGATGGCCCTTCATTAAAACTTCCTTAAACTTCATTAGCTCCCAAAGCCTACAAGTCTCGTGTTACACAGTGAAAACAGCTCTAGAACACTGAGCAGCACTTGGAACAGCAACATGAATCTCCGACCCAGCAACAAATTACAGGGTGGCCCCACTCTCGCCCACTCTACTTGGAACCGTAGGCTGGGATAGCGGAGTCGGAGCTTGAGTCGGAGTCAAGGCTTTCTCCTGTCTCCTCAGGACATAACAGTCTACATCTTCTTCAAAGTTGCAACAAGATGTACTATTTTAATTTGACCAAATTCCCGTCCACAATATAAGTCCCCAACAAAAAGAATCTTTCACAAGTCCCTGGTAGTATATCGGTTAGTACACGCGCCTGTCATGTGATGGTGGGTTTAAAATCCTTTATACCCGCGCGAAAGCTGGGTTCGACTCCCAGCCAGGGAGCTGCTCTACCACTTTTCCGCTATGCTTTTTGCCCATCCCAGCTGGCCTTTCCTTTCTTCGATCGAGTCCGTTGAGATTTTACACTCTGCCGATCCGAATCCCGACTGGCCCCCCGATAGCCTTCGACCAGCTTTAAGCTCCAAGCTCCAAGTCTGACGTAGGGATCTAGAGAGAACACAGCCATGACTCTAAGTCGGAACTCAGTACTCAAGAGCGAGGCATTGTGCGATCGGAAGCTAAGCCAGTGCCGAACGGTTCCTCTCTTCTTCACAAGTTTGCAAACAAGAGGTACTAAGTACTTTGATTCGACCGGGGCCCCATCCACAATACAAGTCATATAAAAAAAAACACTACCATAAGTCCCTGGTAGTATATCGGTTACTATCCGCGCCTGTCATGGCCAATCAACCAAAGGCCTGAGATAACCGCGCGATTGAAGCTGGGTTCGAATCTCAGCCAGGGAGCTGTTCAACTCTTTCTCCACCCTTCTCCACCATTCTTTTTTTGACCATCCTAGCTGGACTTCGTTTCATCGATCGATTCCGTTGGGATTTTCCATTCTGCCGATCCGAACTCGGAGGAGAGCAGCCTGTGTTGATCCCAGGCAGCCTTCTCAGGTAGAGGTGTTTAATTGTTGATCGTTCTAATTCTGAAGGGCGGTGAGCAGGGTCACCTGCAGTCCACATCCGTTATTACTTAGGGACCAAAATCCATCCTCGCACGGTGGAGAGTTAGGCCTTTCTCTATCACGGGCTCGATGCTTAGCAACGATGAGCTTTACCACGTCGCATGTCTCACAAAGTACATTCATAAAATACAGTCTTTAATGATCAGCAAATGTAACAGGTAAGAATTTCAGATACCGATCTTTCCAACAAAAACATAGCTTTTACATCACCTCCTATTCAAACTGACGATTTTGCACCCGAAGGAACTGAAACGAGTCTAAAACTGTTTGGACCTCATCCCATCGTCCTACAGAGCCACCCGCATATTTAAGACCTGGGAAGATCTGATGCAACGCCAGAGCAACTATCAGGGGATTTTGCACCTCGGCAGCGTCTACGCTACAGATAAACTGGCGCAGCGGATGCCTCGCAAGAGTCGGCGGAATCGCGGTCGCATTTGCAACATCTAGGCGAACTGGATACGTGAGATATTCCAGGTTGGGGCAATGCTGCGCAAAATTGGCTAAGGATTGGACTGAAGGTACGTCCCCATCCCATATAAATGCACCTAGTGAAAGATCTCTGATGCATGGCCACGCACAAGCAATCATGGCTGTACGCTGGTCGGACAGCGACAATGCACCGTCGTAGCTGAGCAGTTCTAGCTCTTTCAGCTCCAACAGTGGCTCGAAGACCGTCCAGAGCAGTGGATCATCGAAATCCCGCCTGAGTGAAGAGATTATATGTTCGATCTGCAACCTTTTGAGAGAAGAGAATTTCAACAGCGTTCGAGTCACGGCTGCAATTTCTGCAAGAGGTGGTGCCCCATCGTCGTCTTTGTTCCAATACATGATCAGATCCTGCAGCTTGCGCGGAAGACACGGTAAAAACCTGTACAGGTCCGCATTCGTTCCGTGGACCCAGACTTCCTGCAAAGATGGGAAGCCTTGCTCAATGTCATCGTAGTCAAGCGAAGTACCAGCGGAGAATGTCAGATTGAGGTGGTTCAGTCTCGGTAATGATGCAATAGCCTTGACAAAATCTCTCCCCAGGAATGGAGACGCAACGTTCATCACTCTGAGACTTTCGAGCTGAGGTAGCGAGCGTAGCGAATGGGGCAAGCCAGAATAACCATGCCACTGGAGCTCTAGCGATTTTATTCCTGGACTCTTCGACACAAGAAGGGAGAGCGAAGGGCCGAGATCAAGGGACTGTCCAGTCCTAGCCCCAAGGTCCAGTTTATCACGAGGCAAGCACGCTTCCTGCAAGGTGGAGCTCAAAAAGTACAAGAACATGGCAGAGCTGCACATTCCAGGTAAAAGTCGAAGCGTTTTGAGATTGGGGAAGATCGGTTGCCGTTGGCCGAGGAATGTGTACACAGATTCGTGGGCATTTAGGGCGTCTGAGTCGCTGAATTCACGCACGCGAGAAGTGTAGAATCCTAGACGATCCCATGACGATGGGGCAATTTGCGTCAAGATCATCTGAATACCCCAGGAGTTGATATTTTAATATCAACGAAATGAAGGAAAACATGTGAATGAGTACTCGATTACCTACCTTTTTTCCTTCAACCACAGTGGTTTCCGGAAGCACCGAAAGCAACGGCTCTACGCTCCGCATCTTTTTCCAAAGAACATCCAAAGCCGGGTTCAGAAAGCTCTGACAAGTGAGTCCCAGGGATAAGAGACTTTTCGGCGGCTCAGCTCATCATCTGACAGGTTTGTAAGGTACGATTCTCCATATTCCAGTTCTGCGCATATGATCTGGAGAATATCGTTGTTCAGCATGGATCAGATGGAAGTTGAGTTTTATAAAGCTGTGCAGCTGGCGCTATAACTCATTCAGTAAGATAGCGCCGGCTGCACAGCTTTATGGGACGCAACGCAACCGCAGAGTACAATTCTGTCGTGTATTTCAGGCATTTGCGGATACATACCAGTGGCAGCTGGGCTTCTTTTGAGTGATCCGTTTAGATTTCGACTCTGCCAATCCGAATCCCTAGCACAAAACAGTGAATCGAGGACTCACAGACCTCGAATCCAGAAGAGCCACAAAGTACATTCATAAAATACAGTCTTTGATGATCAGCAAATGGAACAGATAAGAACTTCAGATATCGATCTTTCCAACAAAAACATAAATTTTACATCCCCTCCTATTCAAACTGACGGTTTCGCACCCAAAGCAGCTGAAACAAGTCCAAAACTGTTTGGACCTCATCCCATCGTCCTCCAGAGCCACCCGCATATTTAAGACCTGGGAACATCTGATGCAAAGCCAGAGCAACCAGCGGCGGATTTTGCACTTCAGAAGCGTCCACGCTGCAGGTGAACTGGTGTAAAGGATGTTTAGTAAGAGTGGGAGGAATCCCGGCCAGACCCAAAACATCTAGGCGAACCGGATACGCAAGATATTCCAGGTTGGGGAAAAGCTGCGCAAAATGAGCGAGGGACTGGACTGAGGGTACGTCCCCGTCCCATATAAATGCTCCCAGCTCAAGGTCTGTGATACATGGTCACACACACGCAATTGTGGCTGTACGCTCGTCGGACAGCGATAGTGCACCGTTGTGACCGAGTTCTTTCAACCTTTTCAACTCCAACAGCGGCTCAAATACTGACCAGAGCATTGAGTCATCAAAATCAGCCGTCAAGGGCAAAACTATATTGTGAAGACACAACTTTTCCGGGAGAGGGAATGAGAATTTCAACAGCATGCGGGTGACATCTGCAATCTCCCCAAGAGGTGGTTCCCGATCGTTGTCGTTTCCCCACGAAAGGTCCAGACGGCGCAAATTGCAAGAAAGACATGTTAAAAACCTGTGCAGGTGGGCATTCGTTCCCTCGAGCCAGACTTCACGCAAGAATGGGAAGCCGTGCGCGGTGCCTTCGTAATCAAGCGGGTTACGAGCGGAGAATGTCAGAATGAGGTGAGTCAATCTCGGCAACGATGCAATAGCCTTGACAAATTCTCTCCCCAGGAATGGAGACGCAAGGTGCATCACTGAGAGTCTTTCTAGGTCATGCAAGGCATGCAGTGAATGAGCCAATCCAGAATAAATATGCCTCTGGAGATCTAGTGATTTTATTCCCGGACTCTTCGCAACAAGAAGCGCGAGCGAAGGGCCAATATCAAGTACTTGTCCAGCCATAGCCACAAAAGCCAGCGCAGGACAAAGCACGCAGGCTTCCTGCAAAGTGGAGCTCAAAAAGAACAAGAACGTGCTAGAGTTGCACATTCCAGGTAGAAGCCGAAGTATTTTAAGATTGGGGAAGATCGGTGGGCGTTGGCCAAGGAAGGTATACACAGATTTGTGGGCATTTAAACGGCCCGAGTCGGTGAATTCACGCACACGAGAGGTGTAGAATTCTAGACGATCCCACGAAGACGGGGTGATTTGTATCAAGAGTATCTGAATATTCGAGGAATTAATGAAGAAGGGCTTGAGTAACTCGAGCACCTACCTTTTTTCCATCAACTACAGTGGTTTTCGGGAGCACCGAAAGCAAAGGCTCTATGCTACGCATCTTTTTCCAAAGAACATCCAAAGCCGGATTCAGATAGCTTCGACAAGTGAGCCCCAGATAAGAGAGCTTTTCGACAGCTCAGCTGAACGTGCGGCAGGTTTGCAAGGTATGGATTGCCAGGTCCGTATTCCAGTTCTGCACAGATAATCTGGAGAATATCGTCGTTCAGCATTGATCAGATGGAAGTTGAGTGTTATAAAGCTATTAAGATAGCGCCCCCGCACAGCTTTATGGATCAAGGCATTCCGTTGTTCATCTCAAGCATTTACGGATACAGACAGACCTTTGAATAATAGGACTTGGAGTTTACAAGGTATTCGATGATCTTCGACAAAGAAAGAGTCAGCGCAGCGAAATCACAATAAGCGACTAAGTATCTGCAGCAGAATATGGAAAGCCAAACGAGTCGCGGTAGAGATGAGAGATTTACCAGTACCAGGGCCGTTAAACCAGTAACCAGTTGCCTGTTGAGTATGCGCGTTTTCCGGTGGGCAATTTTGCTTCATATGTTGCTTCGGGACCATGCAGACTCAGCGATCTGAATTTGAGTCACCTATTCACCTCAGCACAAAGATAGCTTGATCCAATCGCATGTTATATACAACAATTTCTGAGTCGAAGGCTCACAGACCACCAATCCGGAAGAGCTACAGTGTGCATTTATAAAATGCATACTAACATCGATCAGTAAATGTAACAATGTAACAGTTAAGAATGCTAAAAATCGATCTTCAAACGAAAACATACTTTTACATGCCCTCCTCTTGAAACTGACGATCTTGCACTCGAAGGAAATGAAAACGAGTTCAAAACCGTTCGGACCTCATCCCATCGGTCTTCAGAGCCAGTAGCATATGTAAGAATAGGGAAGATCTGGTGCAACGCCAGAGCAACCAGTGGGGGATTGCGTACTTCAGCAGCATCTACGCTGCAGGTGAACTGGCGTAACGGATGCCTAGTAAGAGTGGGAGGAATCGCAGTTACACCTGAAACATCTAGACGAATTGGATACGTGAGATATTCCAGGTTTGGGCAATGCTGAGCAAAATGAGCGAGGGACTGGACTGAAGGTACGTCCCCATCCCATATAAATGCACCTAGTGAAAGGCCTCTGATGCATGGCCACGCACAAGCAATCATGGCTGTGCGCTGGTCGGACAGTGACAGTGCGCCGTCGTAACTGAGCAGTTCGAGCTCTTTCAGCTCCAGTAGTGGCTTGAATACTGTCCAGAGCAGCGGATTATCAAAATCATGCCTGAGTGAGGA